GGAGGGCTTTGATTACATTTTCTTGCCCTGGTGAAGAGAGTTGGACTGGATGGCCTTAAGTATTTTCTGTTGGTCATGGGGGTTCCGTGTGGGAAGTTTGACCAAATTCCATTGTTGGTGGGTTTCAGAATGCTCTTTAATTGTACTGAACTATAAATCCCAGCAACTACAACTCCCGAATGTCAAGGTCTATTTCCTCCAAACTCCATCTGTGTTCATATTTGGGCATACTGAGTATTCGTGTAGAGTTTGGTCCAGATCCATCACTGTTTGAGTCCACAGTGCTCTCTGGATGTAGGTGAACTACAACTCCCAAACCAAACAACACGCTTCTAGTATTTTCTGTTGATCATGGGAGAACTGTGTGCCAAGTTTGGTTCAACTCCATCGTTGGTGAGGTTCAGAATGCTCTTTGATTGTAGGTGAACTATAAATCTGCTCTTTGATTGTAGGTGAATTATAAATTTCGCATTTTGCGGCCCCTAACGACGCCCTTTTGGATTTTATATATATAGATATTCAAAGTTTTTTTTTAAAAGGAAACCGACTCCTTAGAAGGGGGAAGAACGAGGCAACCAGTGTTTCTACTAAAGGAAAGAAAATTTATTCAAACTGTGCAATCCATCTGTTTATTAGACAGCAGTTTTATTATAAACATTTTGGCATTTCAACATCTTCTTCTTTTCATTTTTGGCATGAGGTTTGCGGCCGGTCAAAAGCCCCGGCATCAAAGGGGAAGGGGATCGCAAACACAAAAGGAGGTGGACATTCGCTAAAAGGCAATGAGGTCAGTTCTGTTTTTCATATATATATAATATAAAATTCCAGCAAAACATGATCATGTAAAATAGAAAGGTACATTCATTATCGAGGCGCACAGCAACACCCTCCTGCGGCGGAACCCGCGGCGCTGATCCCCTGAGAAACAATACCATCGCACGCGTGGTATTGTTATTATCACTCAGCGCGGTCGTCCTCCGTCGCAAGACAGGCGGTCACTGCGGCCCTTAAAGGAGAGGGAATTGCAGGAAACAGTGGGGCAAGATGGGGGGCCAAGGTGACCCCCACTTCCATGCTGGGCATTCACGTTCTTCAAAGACAACAGAAACAGGAAGGGAATGGGAAGGAAGAGTATTGCCTAGGGTTTGCAGTAGGCATGTGCAACCATGGTTCTAACAGCCGTACCAGCACACTCACCCTCAGCTCAACCTGTTTCTCAACCTGGGGGTCGGGACCCCTGAGGGGGTCGCAAGGGGGTGTCAGAGGGGTCACTGAAGACCATAAGAAAACATAGACCATTTTTTATGACATTTTTTATGACAGAACCTATTAGGAACTGCCATTTATAATGAAATTTTACAGTGTTGCTAAAGTTCTGGTGGTGAAAATGTCAGAACTCTTACAAAACTTTCAAAAATTATTATGTCATTATTGGTGATTTTTTATGACACAACCTATTAGGATCTGCCATTTATAATGAAATTTCAAAATTTCTTTATAAATGGCAGTTCCTAATAGGTTCTGTCATAAAAAAAAATCACCAATAATGAAATAACAATTTTTGAAAGTTTTGTAAGAGTTCTGACATTTTCACCACCAGAACTTTTGCAACACTGTAGAAGCAAAGCCCGGCGGCCCCTAGTTTTCACCACCAGAACTTTAGTTTTGTAAGTACTTGAGAAACATGGTTGCACATGCCTAGAAGACACGCAAGAGAACCCGCCTCTGTGGCCGTCGTCCCAGCAGAAGGGGGCCGAGCGTCTCCTTTTAGAGGAAACGCGGGGTCACCTGTGCTCACCTGGAGCGGAGTTCGGTCCAAGGGGATGGAAGGGCCAAAAAGTGGATCCAAAAGAGTAGCTTTGGTTTCTGGGAAGAAGAGGCCTTCCTTCCCGAAAGGGAGCCTCCCCCCGCCTCTAATGGGCTTCTAAGGAAGGAAAGGATGCTCTTACCTGTCCCCAGGTGAGAGTCAGGAGCGGGAAGAAGGGAGATTTGAAGAAGGCCAGCCCCAACGGTTGCTCTGCAAAAGGCAACCTGAAACATCTTTGGTTTTGCTGACAAAACACAATAACACAATAACCGCTCTCCCGGTTGACTACAAAGCCCATCATTGGGACACGACCCATCATCCACAGAGCAGTGAGGAAGGGATGGAGACGACACCGGCAACCGAGTGCATCCGATCTCTTGCAAACTCGTTGCGGAAACTTTTGTTTACATTGGAAAGTCTCCAAACTAGGAAGGTTTTCCAGGCTGCCCGCAACGGAAAGGGAYGGACCYGAARACCCCACAAACRAGGACACCGGCAACCGARTGCATCCGATCTCTTGCAAACTCGTTACGGAAACTTTTGTTTACATTGGAAAGTCTCCAAACTAGGAAGGTTTCCCAGGCTGCCCGCAACGGAAAGGGACGGACCCGAAAACCCCACAAACGAGGACACCGGCAACCGAGTGCATCCGATCTCTTGCAAACTCATTGCGGAAACTTTTGTTTACATTGGAAAGTCTCCAAACTAGGAAGGTTTTCCAGGCTGCCCGTAACGGAAAGGGACGGACCCGAAGACCCCACAAACAGCCACCAAAGTCCCAAAACAACGGGGAAAAAGGGAAGGAAAAGGCTCAGAAAGTGTCAAGTCTTTGGAACGCTTCAGCGGTTTGCCTTGGCCCGCAAAACACACATCTTTGGTGAGAGGAGTTCCTTTTTTTTCCCTTCCGCAAGGACATAGATAGATAAGATATAATATAGATATAATAATATATAAAAAAACACATTTCCCCTCCTCCCCCCAAATAGAGTATATCTAAGAGCGGAAGAGAGCAAAGGCAACCTTCCTCTGGGAAGAAAGTCTTTGGAGAAACTTTTTTGGGGGGAAAGAAAAGGGACTGAAAGGAACACGGAGGTAGTTAATTACTCAACACAATCGCGGCACTAATCTAGGCCCTCCTGGTTAGTCACTACTTAGGCAAATCAAGGTCTCCAAACCTAGAGAGAGCTTTCCTTCTCTCTTTCTCTCTCTCTCTTGGTCGTCTAGCTCAAGTCCTTTCTGGAAAATAGGCAGCTTTCTTTCTAACATCTACACAACATTCTTCTTTGGTACAAGGTCGTCGCCATCGTCTTTAAAGCCTGGGATTTGGGGGGAAAGGGGGCGAGGGGAAGGGCCACCAAGACCCACGGAATGCCCACAGAAGGGAACAAGGAGGAGGGCCCAAAGCCAGGAGAAGTCAAGGATCCCATCCCAAGAGAAGAGAAGAGAAGAGAAGTGAAGGGAAGGGAAGGGAGAAAGAAGGAGGGACGTAAAGCAAAGGAGAAAGAAGGAAGTAAAGGAAAGGATAGGGTGGGAAGGGAAGGGAAAGCAAAAGAAAAAAGAGGAAAAGGAAGGTAAGGATAGGATGGGAAAGGAGAGAGAGAAAGAAAAAGGAAGGAAGGAAGGAAGGAAGGAAGGAAGGAAGGAAGGAAGGAAGGAAGGAAGGAAGGAAGGAAGGAAGGAAGGAAGGAAGGAAGGAAGGAAGGATAGGACAGGATGGGAAGAGAGAAAGGAAGGAAGAAGGGAAGGGAGGGGGGCATTGGGGTCCAGACCCAATCGATATTAATTTCTTCTTTCGCAAGGAAGCAAGGAACACGGACGTTCCCCTTCAAAAAGGCGAGCTTCCTGGTTCTACATTGTGAGGATATCCCATTCTTCCTTCTGGTGGGAGGATGAGCGGAGGAAGCAGGGGACAGACGGGACTCCTGGCTTTGGGGGACGGGGCTCTCGGTCCGGATGAAAACGTCACCCTCTCACACAACGCGCACACACAGACACAAAAATTAAACATAAGATAGATAGAGAGATACCCTGTCATTGCTGCAAGACAGCTTTTTTTTTACAAAAAGGAACACACTGCGCCCTGAGAACAGGAAAAAAACAACAACAATAATACTAGAATCACTTCTTAAAAGGAGGTAGTATAAACAGGAGTCGTGTGGGTCCCCTTCCGGCGACCGGTCAGCTCTCTTTCTCTCTCTTTCTCCCTTCCTTCCTGAGAGGAGAGGGCCAGGGTCTCTTAACTATGTAAACAGAAGAGAAGAAACCCCATTTATTGCTCAAAAGCCCATTATTATGGACAAAACGTATAGAATCTGTGGGCCCCACTCCCCACAACCTGCAGGCCCTGCTTAAGGCATCTTTCTGTACTCCATCAAGACTAAGAACATGTAGAAGGCAAAAGAGGAGTACATTATGGGTATTTGAGGCAGGGAGAGAGAAACACCTGGATTTCATCACATAATGGTCGCACTGTCATTTCTGGGGCAGCGGAGTAGGTATTTGTTTGTGTTCCTCACATAAGAGACACAGAGCATTTGAGGGCTGACTCCCCTACATTAAAGGGGAGTACATTATGGGAATTTGAGGCAGGAAGAGAGAAACACCTGGATTTCATCACATAATAGTCACACTGTCATTTCTGGGGCAGTGGAGTAGGTATTTGTTTGTGTTCCTCACATAAGAGACACAGAGCATTTGGGGGCTGACTCCCCTACATTAAAGGGGAATACATTATGGGAATTTGAGGCAGGGAGAGAGAAACACTTGGATTTCATCGCATAATAGTCGCACTGTCATTTCTGGGGCAACGGAGTAGGTATTTATTTGTGTTCCTCACATAATAGACACAGAGCATTTGGGGGCTGACTCCCCTACATTAAAGGGGAGTACATTATGGGAATTTGAGGCAAGGAGAGAGAAACACCTGGATTTAATCACATAGTAGTTGCACTGTCATTTCTGGGGCAGCAGGTATTTGTGTTCCTCACATAAAAGACACAGAGCATTTTGGGGCTTATTCCTTCCTTTGGAGAAGGAAGGAAGGAAGGAAGGAAGGGAAAAAGGAGAAGGGTTGAAAGATTACCCCAAACAGCTCTGCAACTATTATGTGAGGAACACTGTCATTTCTGGGGCAGCGGAGTAGGTATTTGTATTCCTCACATAAGAGACACAGAGCATTTAGGGGCTGATTCCTTCCTTTGGAGAAGGAAGGAAGGAAGGGAAAAAGGGGGAGGAAGTGTTGAAAGATCACCCCAAACAGCTCTGCGACTATTATGTGAGGAACACTGTCATTTCTGGGGTAGCAGAGTAGGGATTTGTTTGTGTTCCTCACATAATAGACACAGAGCATTTTGGGGCTGATTCCTTCCTTCCTTCTTTCTCCAAAGGCCATAAAGCAGCTTAGGAAACCTGAAATAGAGGATCAGTTTAAAAACAAACAGAAACGGATGACCCAGCTCCACTCTCTCTCTCTCTGGACTGATGCATCTACGGCAGAAGGCACAGCTACAACGAAGCGCAAAAAGGCACTCCATATTCAGAACTACATTAAAGGGGAGTAAATTATGGGAATTGAGGCAGGGAGAGAGAAACACCCGGATTTCATCACATAATAGTCGCACTGTCATTTCTGGGGCAGCGGAGTAGGTATTTGTTTGTGTTCTTCACAAACAAATACCAAAAGGTCTTTGGAGAAGGAAGGAAGGGAGGGAGGGAGGGAGGGAGGGAGGGAGGGAGGGAGGGAAAAAGGGGGAGGTAGGGTTGAAAGATCACCCCAAACAGCTCTGCGACTATTATGTGACGAACACAAAGGCAGTTTAAAAACAAACAGAAATGGATGACCCAGCTCCATTTCTATTTCTTTGAAGATGGATCCTGCCTTTTCCTCTTCTCTCAAAGGTAAGGCAGTTCATTTTTAAAAATAATAACAGCAAATTCTTTTTCCTCACGTAATAGTCGCATCCCTTTCTCAATCAAAAAAGTGTGACAATTATGCGACTAAATGCAGGTGCCTCCTACTGAGAATGTGGGCATCGTTGGGGTCAGAAACAGGGGCAGAAGGCACTGTCCAAGGCCACTTGGGGCCGCAGGGCAGGGAGTGTGGGCCCTTGAAGCTTAAAGGGCCCCAAAGGACCGCATTTGTCTTTGAGAAATGGACCCTGGCTCCCTCCTCATTCTTTGGCATCTTCACCTCTTCAATTTGCCAGAGAGAGCTGGGTGGCCGCCTCCTCCTCGCCTCCCAACACAACTCCTTCGAATCTCATACTTGCATACAACATGCAAACGCACGTACTCGCACACTTCACACACACACAAGAGGGGGGGGAGTTATAAAAAATACTGAGCGGGGCGCTACTAGGAAGTAATCGCAGTTGAGACCAAAACTCTTTGCGCAAAAAAGCCGAACGGCGGGGGTGAACGGAGGTTGCGCCATTGCGCTCCGCACCCGCGGCTCGGCGGACTGAGGTAGATAATATCCAAGCCAAGGGCCCCGCGCCCTTCGCTCCAGTGATAACGGCACCGACAGACACATATCCATATAATATACTATTTAAAAAACCCTTCTCTCTTTTCGGCTAGACTCCGAAACCTGTCCCCTCTCCCTCCCTTCACATTGTGGAACATTCAACGCGAGCGGGTTTTCCGCACGCAAAAGACAGACTAAAACAAACCGTGGCGGGAGTCACCTGCCGCCCTCCCAGGGCTCCCACGTCATAAAGCTTTGGCTCCCTGTTCATTGTCCTCTGAACAGCAAAAACGGCGGGCGGGTAGGCGGGCGGTCAGTGGGTCACATGGTCAGTTGGTCTGGAGGGCGGAGGGGATCAGGGGGTTCTTTGGGCGTCGCGTAGAGGTTGCCGAGCATTTCCGCTTCAGGGATGACGATGGAGAGGCGCAGGTCTTCGCTGGACTCCTGGGAGAACCTTCCGGAGTCGCCCGTTTCACTGTGGGCCGAGTGCTCTGTGTCGGCGGCGACGGCAAACGTGTCTCCTCGCTGGTCCTTCTGAGGCGGCGCCGTTGAGACGTCTTCGGATGCAAGGACTCTGTTCGGCTGGAACAGACACACAGCGTTGGCCGACCTTTGGGTCTGGAAAAAAGGAGGAAGCGGTCAGTGGGGTTCAGAGTTGATTGAGGGCAGAGGCGGCCCTAGGTAATTTTCAACGGTAAGCAAACAGTATTTTGGCACGCCCCCCGCTGACAACCAATCATTGATATATATTTTCTGTTCATGTGGGAGTTCTGTGTGCCATATTTGGTTCAATTCCATCATTGGTGGAGTTCAGAATGCTCTTTGATTGTAGGTAAACTATACATCCCAGTAACTACACTTGCCGCACTTGCTCCCTTGCCTGGCCCGCTTTGGGTCCGGAGGCGTGCCTGAAGACCCTGGCGTGTGCACCAAAAGTCACCTCTTCTCCTGACTTTCTCCTCAGCCATTGGGACCAAGAGAAAGAGAGAGAGAGAGAGAGGTGGAGATGCCCACCTTTCCTGAAGGTAGGCGCAAAAACAAAGGAGGGAGCGGAGATGGGAGATACCTCCAGCCGGAGGGGCTCTCTCTCTCTCTCTTGGTCCCAATGGCTGAAGAGAAAGTCAGGAGAAGAGGCGACTTTTGGTGCACACGCTGGGGTCTTCAGACATGCCTCTGGTCCCGAAGCGGGCCAGGCGCGGTGGCTCCACCCCTTGGCCCACCCGCGGATTGGGGAGAGGAGAGGAGGCGGGTGGAGCGCCGGGGGATCGGGAAAGGGAGCCGGTCATGGAGAAGGGATCAAACGCGGAGAACGATTGAGCGCCGGCTCTGCTCGCGCACCCGTTGGCTGTGTGGAGCATGAACGAGAGGGGCGAGGCGAGGCTCAAGGGCCTGGCCCCTTTGGGAAGAGGATCGCCCGGCAGCGAGGCAAGAAAGCCGAGGCTCCCCCCGGACTGCTAGGGCTGTTGTGAGCTGAGGGGGCGCTCCTCAAGTGGCGGTCGAGGGGCATTTACAGAGGCGCCTCTGCACCCCTGGCAAAAAAAGTGTTCTGCGACCGCTTACTTTGCGTAATGGACGAGCCGCCCCTGATTGAGGGTCCTCAAGGTCCTCTAGACCCGCCCCAGCCTCACCTGCCCAGCCTTGGCTTCCTTCGAATCGGGGAAAAGGAGCCACTTCTTCCTTGAGCTGCTCTTTGTGACGGGGCCAAAGCTGTTGATGATCAGATCCGTCCCTCCCTGGAGGAAAGGAAAGGGGAGCTTATCATTCGTCAGCGAGATTACCAGAGACGATGATTTTACAAAAACTATTATTTAGAGCTTTCATAACACGATCTCGTTCTCCGAAGAGGGACTCAGGCCGGCTAACAGCAGGAAATTCAACACAAATATAGCAAACATAATAGCATCATAATACATTAATACAAAATACATTAAAATACAGATTATATGCAGTCATGCCGGCCACATGACCTTGGAGGTGTCTATGGACAACGCCGGCTCTTCGGCTTAGAAATGGAGATGAGCACCACACCCCAGAGTCAGACATGACTGGACTTAATGTCAGGGGACAATCTTTACCTTACAGATTATATAATATCATACAATTACAAAAGCCAGGTCGTCAGAATAAGATCACAAATGCATCATCAGTTGTTATTGACTCGATCATCATTCTGAGAATGCTATATTCCAAAGCCAGGTTTTTACCAGCTTTCTGAAAGTCAGGAGGAAAGGGGCAGATCTCCAGCGGGAGAGAGTTCCAGAGCCGAGGGGCCACCACCGAGAAGGCCCTGTCCCTCGTCCCCTCCACTGTTCTAATCTCCAGTGGGAGAGAGTTCCAGAGCCGAGGGGCCACCACCGAGAAGGCCCTGTCCCTCATCCCCACCAGACATCAAGGGAACCACTGACCACAGAGGGGAGCTGATCTACAGACCCACCAAGAAAATCCAATAAATGTATTGTCCTAGGCTTTCATGGCCGGAATCACTGGGTTGTTGTAGGTTTTTTCAGGCTATATGGCCATGGTCTAGAGGCATTCTCTCCTGACGTTTCGCCTGCATCTATGACAAGCATCCTCAGAGGTAGTGAGGTCTGTTGGAACTAGGAAAAAGGGTTTATATATCTGTGGAATGACCAGGGTGGGACAAAGGACTCTTGTCTGCTGGAGCTGGTGTGAATGTTTCAACTGACCACCTTAATTAGTGAGTTGTTGTAGGCAAAACGTCAGGAGAGAATGCCTCTAGACCAGGGGTAGGGAACCTTTGGCCCTCCAGCTGTGGTGGACTTCAACTCCCACAATTCCTTGAGGCTCGGCATTGGGCCAAGGTAAGCCTTTGGGGCGAATGCCGAGCCTCAAGGAATTGTGGGAGTTGAAGTCCACCACAGCTGGAGGGCCAAAGGTTCCCTACCCCTGCCTAGAGCTACAGGAGCGGCATTAGCAAGGACAAAAGATTGCCCCAGTCACTGCCAGGCCATCAAATGCTAATCAAGGCGGACAGTTGAAACATTCACACCTAGCTCCAGCAGACAAGAGTCCTTTGTCCCACCCTGGTCATTCCACAGATATATAAACCCAATTTTTCTAGTTTCCAACAGACCTCACTCCCTCTGAGGATGCTTGCCATAGATGCAGGCGAAGCGTCAGGAGAGAATGCCTCTAGAACATGGCCATATAGCCCGAAAAATCCTACAACAACCCAACCCAAGGCCTTCTAGTCATTTTGCAGCCCAATCAGCCTGGATAGCAAGGGCCTGGGAGCGGAATCTACATACGTCCACCGACAAATACGGTGATGCAAACCCAGGAGGTGAGCCCCCATACTTTGGCGTCGAGGAAGGTGCTCCCCGTTGTCCTGGGCAGCAGGGACTCCATGTTCTCGGCTGGGTCTTGGGCGCCTTTCCTCGCTTCATGGGCGCCGATGGAAGGAGACGTCCCAGACAAGGATGAGAGGCCGTCAGAGGTCTCGGGAGCGCTTTTGGGAGCAGACGTTTTCCTAAATAATAATAATAATAATAATAATAATAATAATAATAGTACTTCTGACCCTTCTCTCTTTGTTGCACATAAAAACAATTTCCCAGAATGCCTTGTGCCCCAGCCAAACACAGCCAGGGTCAGTATCAATGTGTATAGAACAGGTGTTTTGGATTTCAACTCCCACAAAAATGGGGGTGCGACTATTACGTATGTGCAATCCATGGTTCTAAATGGTTCTCAAGCACTTACAAAACTAAAGTTCTGGTGGTGAAAACTAGGAGGCGCTGGTGCTTCGCTTCTACAGTGTTGCTAAAGTTCTGATGGTGAAAATTTCAGAACTCTAACAAAAATTTCAAAATTTCATTATAAATGGCAATTCCTAATTAGTTCCGTCATAAAAATCATCAATAATGAAATAATAATGAAATTTTGAAAGTTTTGTTAGAGTTCTGAAATTTTCACCACCAGAACTTTAGCAACACTGTAGAAGCAAAGCACCAGCGCCCCCTAGTTTTCACCACCAGAATTTTAGTTTTGTAACTGCTTTAGAACCATTACAGTGTTTCTCAACCTGGGGGTCGCCAGGAGGTACCAGAGGGGGTCACCAAAGTTGCATCAGTCAGTGGTCACTACAAAGGAGTTCCATCAGCAAGTAGTCATTGCAAAGGAGTTCCATCAGTCAGTGCTCATTACAAAGGGATTACATCAACCAGTGGTCATTAAAAGGGGGTTGCATCAGCCAGTGGTCATTACAAAGGGGTTGCATCAACCAGTGTCATTTTAAAGGGTTGTATCCGTCAGTGGTCACTGCAAAGGAGTTCCATCAGCCAGTGTCATTGCAAAGGGGTTGCATCAGCCAGTGGTCATTACAAAGGGGTTGCATCAACTAGTGGTCATTACAAAGGAGTTGCATCAACCAGTGGTCATTAAAAAGGAGTTGCATCAGCCAGTGGTCATTGCAAAGGGGTTGCATCAGTCAGTGGTCATTACAAAGGGGTTGCATCAACTAGTGGTCATTACAAAGGAGTTGCATCAACCAGTGGTCATTGCAAAGGAGTTGCATCAGCCAGTGTCATTGCAGAGGGGTTGCATCAGTCAGTGGTCATTACAAAGGGGTTGCATCAACCAGTGGTCATTAAAAAGGAGTTGCATCAGCCAGTGGTCATTGCAAAGGGGTTGCATCAGTCAGTGGTCATTACAAAGGGGTTGCATCAGTCAGTGGTCATTAAAAAGGGGTTGCATCAGTCAGTGGTCATTACAAAGGGGTTGCATCAGTCAGTGGTCATTGCAAAGGGGTTGCATCAGTCAGTGGTCATTACAAAGGGGTTGCATCAGTCAGTGGTCATTAAAAAGGAGTTGCATCAGCCAGTGGTCATTGCAAAGGGGTTGCATCAGTCAGTGGTCATTACAAAGGGGTTGCATCAGTCAGTGGTCATTGCAAAGGGGTTGCATCAGTCAGTGGTCATTAAAAAGGAGTTGCATCAGCCAGTGGTCATTGCAAAGGGGTTGCATCAGTCAGTGGTCATTACAAAGGGGTTGCATCAGTCAGTGGTCATTAAAAAGGGGTTGCATCAGTCAGTGGTCATTACAAAGGGGTTGCATCAGTCAGTGGTCATTACAAAGGGGTTGCATCAGTCAGTGGTCATTGCAAAGGAGTTGCATCAGCCAGTGGTCATTGCAAAGGGGTTGCATCAACCAGTGGTCATTAAAAAGGGGTTGCATCAGTCAGTGGTCATTAAAAAGGGGTTGCATCAGTCAGTGGTCATTACAAAGGGGTTCCATCAGCAAGTAGTCATTGCAAAGGGGTTGCATCAGTCAGTGGTCATTACAAAGGGGTTGCATCAACCAGTGGTCATTAAAAAGGGGTTGCATCAGTCAGTGGTCATTACAAAGGAGTTGCATCAACCAGTGGTCATTAAAAAGGAGTTGCATCAGCCAGTGGTCATTGCAAAGGGGTTGCATCAGTCAGTGGTCATTACAAAGGGGTTGCATCAACCAGTGGTCATTAAAAAGGGGTTGCATCAGTCAGTGGTCATTAAAAAGGGGTTGCATCAGTCAGTGGTCATTACAAAGGGGTTGCATCAGTCAGTGGTCATTACAAAGGAGTTGCATCAACCAGTGGTCATTAAAAAGGAGTTGCATCAGCCAGTGGTCATTGCAAAGGGGTTGCATCAACCAGTGATCATTGCAAAGGGGTTGCATCAACCAGTGGTCATTGCAAAGGCGTTGCATCAGCAAGTAGTCATTGCAGAGGGGTTGCATTGGCCAGTGGTCATTACAAAGGGGTTGCATCAGCCGGTGATCATTGCAAAGAGGTTGCATCAACCAGTGGTCATTGCAAAGGGATTGCATCAGCAAGTAGTCATTGCAAAGGGGTTCCATCAGTCAGTGGTCATTACAAAGGGGTTGCATCAACCAGTGGTCATTGCAAAGGGGTTGCATTGGCTAGTGGTCATTACAAAGGGGTTGCATCAGCCAGTGTCCCTTACTGATGACCTATCAGCAGATGGCTACATGAGTGGGATGAAAGACTCCATCTCTCTCTCTCTCTCCTGTGTGACTCGGTGCGAGTATCTTCCTATGTTGTATGTGACTACAAGAAAGTACAAGAAAAGTGCAAGTACAAGAAAAGTGGATCTGCATATCGTGTTTGTAAATGTGTATATATTGAAACGGTGAAGATTAAAGCCTCTGGATATTTTGGATTAAAACCTAAATCTGCAAGTTTCCTGAAACAGTGTGCAGATAAGGTTAGATGCTGGCAGTGGGACTCTGCTGATAGACAGGCCGAAGCACATGTTTTGCTGCGAAGGGACTCTGCTGTCGTTTTGCTTCTTTCTGGGACACTTGCTATCAAGCTTGCAACAGTTTGGAGAAGTCATGATTTGGAAACTATAAATCACTTCAAGGACCAGCAAATCCCTCCTTGGACTGACCTGGCCTTTCCGCGGTAGATGAGGATGAGGACACAGGCGCAAATGCAGGCCAAGGCAATGGAGACACCAGCCACAATGCCCGTCATGGACCTCTGGTCCAGCTGGTAGGAGCCGGAGTCAGCTGCAAGGAAGGAGAGATGGAAGAGATGAAAGGGGAACAACAGTTGGGACTCGGAACACATCCTGCAGAAGTCTGTAGTAGACAAGATGTTTGCTGTGAGTTAGATAGATAGGCCCTGCTTTACTTTCCTATCTAGGCATGTTGTTCTTTCCTGTCTAGGTATCTAGTTCTTTGAATAAAGTCTTTTCCAACTTTCAACGCTTGACTCTGCTGCTATAATTACTGAAGCTCATTGGCTCTACTGCTGTGTTCAAGAAGCTTCTCATCTGCTGCATTGTTCTCCTCCTGTGAGAATGGAGACAGACAACATGTCTCTACTAGATAGTTAAATAGCGAAGTCCTAACTTTCCTATATAGAGAGATTTAATTCGTTGAAAAAAGTCTTTTCAAAGCCTGACTCCGCTCCCATCCTGGCTGAGGCTCATTTGCTCTACTGCTGGGCTCAAGAAGCTTCTCGTCTGCTAAACTGCTGCTAGGCCCTGCTTTAGTTTCATATCTAGTTCTGTGAATAAAGTGTTCTGTAACTCATACAGTCTGACTTGGTTTCTCTCACGGCTGAAGCTTCTTCACTCTACTGCTGTGCTCAAGAAGCTTCCCATCTGCTAAACTGCTGCTAGGCCCTGCTTTACTTTCATATCTAGTTCTCTGAATATAGTCATACAGTCTGACTTGGTTTCTCTCACAGATGAAGCTCCTTCGGTCTACTGCTGTGCTCAAGAAGCTTCTCATTTGCTAAACTGCTGCTATGCCCTGCTTTACTTTCATATCTAGTTCTTTGAATAAAGTGTTTTGTAACTCATACAGTCTGACTTGGTTTCTCTCACGTCTGAAGCTCCTTCGCTCTACTGCTGTGCTCAGGAAGCTTCTCATCTGCTAAACTGCTGCTAGGCCCTGCTTTACTTTCATATTTAGTTCTCTGAATATAGTCATACAGTCTGACTTGGTTTCTCTCACGTCTGAAGCTCCTTCGCTCTACTGCTGTGCTCAGGAAGCTTCTCATCTGCTAAACTGCTGCTAGGCCCTGCTTTACTTTCATATTTAGTTCTCTGAATATAGTCATACAGTCTGACTTGGTTTCTCTCATGTCTGAAGCTCCTTCGCTCTACTGCTGCGCTCAGGAAGCTTCTCATCTGCTCAACTGCTGCTAGGCCCTGCTTTACTTTCATATCTAGTTCTTTGAATAAAGTGTTTTGTAACTCATACAGTCTGACTTGGTTTCTCTCACAGCTGAAGCTCCTTCGCTCTACTGCTGCGCTCAGGAAGCTTCTCATCTGCTAAACTGCTGCTTCGCCCTGCTTGACTTTCACATCTAGTTCTTTGAATAAAGTGTTTTGTAACTCATATAGTCTGACTTGGTTTCTCTCACAGCTGAAGCTCCTTTGCTCTACTGCTACACTCAGGAAGCTTCTCATCTGCTAAAGTGCTGCTGTTGCTGCTCTTATTTGAATCTTGATATCTAGGTCTTTAAATAAAGTCCTGTGCAACTTTGAAAGCTTGACTCTGCTCCCTTTCCGGCCGAAGCTCCTTTGCTCTACTGCTATGCACAAGGAGCTTCGATGCTGTTGCAGCTTTACTTTAGAAATTCTTGTTTTCCTTTTTTTTTCGTGGGGGGGTGTGTGAATAAAGAACAGAAATGGCTCCCAAGGAAGGAAGGAATGGAAGGGGACACCCCTTAAGCACTGCACACCTGTGTTTCCTGCATCGCCCGCGTCGAGACGCTTGGGCCTCTGGTTGGGCTCAGGGTCTCCCTTTGGCTGGACAGCTAGCTCTACGGCACTGGAGAAGGGTCCCTCTCCCACTTCGTTGGAAGCCGCGATCTTGACCAGGTAGACGTTCCCGGCCAGGAGGTTCTCCAGCAGAGCCATGGTGATGGTCCCTGCACCAAAGAGAGGGAAAGAGAGTCATCCTTGTGGCCCGGAGAGTGCAACGGACTGGTGCAACGGGGATCTGGCCCCTTTCCGTGCGGACTGACCTTCCCGGTGCAAGACTTGCCACTGGCCGACTGCCCAGGCCTTGCGCGAGGCGTAGAGGATGGTGTAGCGCAAGACGGTGGCCCCGATCCCGACGGGGGGCTTCCAGGACACCAGGGCCGTGTCCTCCTCGATCAGGGTCACCTTCACACCCAGCGGGGGGCCCGAGGGGGCTGCCAAAGGAGACATAGAGGGAGGGACACATCGATGAGCATCACACATACATAACATACATACATACACAGAGATCCAAACACAGGCAACATACTCCCAACTCATGACAGTGATGCCATTCATACAGTCTGACTTGGTTTCTCTCACTCTACTGCTGTGCTCAGGAAGCTTCTAATCTGCTAAACTGTTGCTGTTGTTTCTCTTACAGTGATGCCATTATCCAGGATGGCCACCCAGACTCACAGGCATCATTAGCAGGTTAATGGAGAAAGAGAGTTTTCTCCTCCTGAGAAAAATGTATAGTATCACAAAGGACGACCACCTCACCCGCCTCATAGGAAACCTGCTACAAAACAGGAGCTTTTTTGTGGAGTTCCAGGGCCAGAGAAGCAGATGGCGGAAACAGAAGAACGGCCTGCCTCAGGGGAGCGTGCTTGCTCCATCCATGTTCAACATCTACACAAATGACCAGCCATTGCCAGAAGGGACAGAGAGCTTCATCTATGCTGATGATTGTGCCATCACCGCTCAAGCAGGGAGCTTTGAGATGGTAGAACAGAAGCTCTCCGAAGCTCTAGGAGCTCTTACTGCCTCTTACAGGGAAAACCAGCTGATCCCTAACCCACCTAAAACAGAGACATGTGCCTTTCATCTCAAGAACAGACAAGCATCCCGAGCTCTGAGGATGATGACCTGGGAAGGAAAGAATCCCACTGGAGCATTGCAGCGCACCCAAATACCTGGGAGGAGTCACTCTGGACCGTGCTCTGACCTACAAGAAGCACTGCCTGAACATCAAGCAAAAAGTGGGTGCTAGAAACAATATCATACGAAAGCTGACTGGCACAACCTGGGGATCACAACCAGATACAATGAAGACATCTGCCCTTGCGCTATGCTACTCTGCTGCTCAGTACACATGCCCAGTGTGGAACACATCTCACCTCGCTAAAACAGTGGATGTGGCTCTTAATGATACATGCCGCATTATCACGGGGTGTCTGCGCCCTACACCACTGGAGAAATTACACTGCTTAGCCGGCATTGCACCACCTGACATCCGCCGGGAAGAAGCAGCCAATAGTGAAAGGACGAAGGCAGAGACATCTCCAGCCCATCCCTTGTTTGGGTATCAGCCAGCACACCAACGACTTCAATCAGGAAATAATTTTCTAAGATCTACAGAGACACTCGCTGGAACACCTCAGCAAGTGAGAGTCCAAAAGTGGCAGGCTCAAACCCAAAACTTGATAATAAATGAGAGACACACAGAAGACGGGGCGACTTGGAAAGCGCTGAACAGACTGCGCTCTGGTACCACGAGATGCAGAGCCAACCTTCAGAAATGGGGCCACAAAGTGGAGTCCATGACATGCGAGTGTGGAGAAGAAGAGCCAACCACTGACCACCTGCTGCAATGCACCCTGAGCCCTGCCACATGATGCACAAGGGAGGACCTTCTTGCGGCAACACCAGAAGCACTCCACGGGGACAGATACTGGTCAAAGGACATCTAATCAACTACCAAGCTTGCAAACTTTGTGTTTTTTTTAATCTGTTTGTGAATGACTTAAATCTACAAATAGTTTTCTAAGATCTACATAGACACTCGCTTGAACACTTCAGCAACCAAGAGTCCAAAAGTGGCAGGCACAAACCAATGGCTGTTGGAGGACCTCCTTGCAGCAACACCAGAGGCACTCCAAGGGGCCAGATAAAAAGGACATTTAATCAACTACCAAGCTTGCGAATTCTGCATTTTGTGTGTTTGTTTGTTCTGTTAGAAATGTAATACAATTGACTGGTTGCCCTGACACGACAAATAAATAATAGTAATAATAGTAATCCAGGAACAAAAACTCTGTTATATAGCAGGTATGGGCAAACTTTGGCCCTCCGGTTGCTTTGGACTACAACTCCCACAATTCAGCCCATGCCTGTTACACAGTGTGATAACAGAGCCATAGAATGCAATGATTGTGTCAAGTTATTATTATTATTATTATTAGTAGTAGTAGTAGTAGTAGCAGTAGTAGTAAGACACAATCAAAGCCCTCCTGACAGAAGGCCATCTAGCTCCTGCTTAATAATAACCTTCCGGCAGCGTGGAGTGATACACGACGGGGCTCCAAGGGCTGGCGAGCTGGTCGAGATGCAGCCGGACGGCGAACTCGTACTTGGTGCTGGGCTCCAAGCCCTGGACCAGGATCTGGGTTTCTGACCTAGAAGAGAGAAGGAGAAAGGGGAAAGGGAAGACGTCACGGCGTGAGCGGTCGGTCCCTGTTCCGTCATCCTGTGACATTTGGGAGTTGTAGTTGTTGGGATTTATAGTTTACCTATATTCTGAATTCCACCAGCGATGGATTTAAATCGAACTTAGCACACAGAACTCTCATGACCAACAGAAAACACTGGAAGGATTTTGTGGGCGTTGACCTTGAGTTTGGGAGTTATAGTTCACCTATATCCAGAGGAATGCTATGGATTCATGCAATGATGGATCTGGGCCAAACTTGGCACAAATACTCAATATGCCCAAATGTGAACACTGGTGGAGTCTGGGGAAAATAGACCTTGACCTTTGGGAGTTGTAGTTGTCGGGATTTATAGTTCACCTACAATCAAAGAGCATTCTGAACTCGACCAACAATAGAATTGGGTCAAACTTCTCACACAGAATCCCAATGACCAACAGAAAATACTATCTTTTCTGATGGTCTTTGGCGACCCCTTTGACACCCCTTCACGACCCCCTCAGGGATCCCGACCCCCAGGTTGAGAAACACTGTTCTAAAGTATAGTGAAAAAAGTTACTATAATGAGAGTAACACCGGGAGTGTGGCGCAGCTGTCCGAGTGTCAGCTGCATTAAGATCACTTCTGACCAAAAGGTCATGAGTTTGAGGCCAGCCCGGGTCGGAGTGAGCTTCCAACCAATTGTGTAGCATGTTCTCGACCTTTGCAACCTGAAAGACAGTTGCATCGGTCAAGTAGGAAAATTAGGTCCCACCTTAAAGTGTGGGGAGGCTAAATTAACTGATTTATGAGGCTATAAAGAAGACTCCAGCAAAAGCATTCCAGAGGGGAAGCATGTGGGGAACGTGGAAGTGCTTCATCAGCGTCGCAGATGGACAAGGAAAGCGACAGAAAAAGTTAAATAGCCTCTGTGTATGTCTGTATATGTTTGTATGTCCAAAATTGGCATTGAATGTTTGCCATATATGTGTACACTGTAGTCCGCCCTGAGTCCCCTGCGGGGTGAGAAGGGCGGAGGCTAAATTAACTGATTTATGAGACTATAAAGAAGACTCCAGCGAAAGCATTCCAGAGGGGAAGCATGCGGGGAACGTGGAAGTGCTTCATCAGCGTTGCAGATGGACGAGGAAAGCGACAGCTCCCCTGGTGGCCAGAAAAAAGTTAAAAATAGCCTCTGTGTATGTCTGTATATGTTTGTATGTCAAAAATTGGCATATATGTGTACACTGTAATCCGCCCTGAGTCCCCTGTGGGGTGAGGAGAAGGGCGGAATAGAAAAGCTGTAAATAAATAAATAAATAATAAACATGAAAACATTATGCTCTCACCAACATGAAAGCATTGCGATGACCTTTCCCCGAGCTGGCTTCTCGTCTACCAGCCAGGCGAGACCTCCGCCTGACACACAAATCAAGACAAGCTTGCCGGGTCTGGTCACTGTCAAGGCTTTCCGTACTTTCAGTATCATCTTCCCTCTGTCTATGTCTGTCTATATTTGTATGTCAAAATTGGCATTGATTCTTTGCCATATATGTGTACACTGTAATCCAACCTGAGTCCCCTGTGGGGTGAGGAGAAGGGCGGAATAGAAAAGCTGTAAATAAATAAATAAATGAAAGTGATGGGTGACGGTTTTCATTCTTAAATTCCTCCCTACCTTTTCTGCATGTTTCTAATATAGATTCATATGAATTAAAGACAAGCGTTTGCAGACCCCATACAACGTACGTCTGGAGGTAGCGGACGAGGGAGGCGTTCTGGAGGCCGACCGGGTGGCAGCGCAGGGTGTAGTTGAGGGTTGAAGAGGAGGAGGAGGAAGAGGAGGAGGAGGAGGAGAAGGCGGGGCGGCCCCAGCGCAGCAGCACGGCCGAGGAGGAGTTGGCCCGGGCAGAGAGGCGCAGCGGCGGCGGAGGGGGTGGCTCCAGGCGGTCACGGACGGCTGCGGGTGAGACAGAGGAAGGAAGGAAGGAAAGCAAGCATATAAGTGAAGAACCAGGATTATTATTCAATTGTTATATTTATTTACACCCTGCTTTCACTCTTCCCAACGAGACCCCAATATACATTGTTGATTGTTATTGTTGTTGTGCTGGTACATCTGTACCAGGAGCTCCAACTTTATTTTCTTTCTTTTAAATGTTTGCATGCACTCCAAGGCTTCAGGGATTTTGCAAAAGGTGACTTCCCTTGGTTTGCAGTCATAGGGCAAGCCACCTATCATTGTTAAGTTTGGATCCACCCCTTCTCCCAGGGACATGGGAGGAGAGGCAGCCATTTTTAGTTAGTCTTACAGAAGGAAACCAAGCTATAGGACGTGGAGTAGCTTCACCTGCAGAAAAGCTTCACTTCTTAAGAATTCCGGGGAGAACGGTCTCAAAGCTCTGGCAGGGAGCTTACAGCCTCTCAGCCTTACAGCATCTGAGGGAAACAGCCCTAAAAGGTTTCTGAAGAAATTCCGGGGGAAAGCAGCTTTACAGACCCAAAGAACTCCAGCTGGAGAATCTGCAAGCCTTGACTGGTAGGTCTACTCGGTGCTCAAGACGCAGTTTGAATCCGGTAGGAGAACCCACATCAGTAAGGCTTAGATAGTAGACAGCCTGGGAGAGGTTCAAAAAGGGTTTTCCTCTTAAAGTGAAAGAACAGTTAACGAAGACAGTTGCCTGTCCCTTGAGGACAAGAGTAAGGAAGCCACCAGTTGACTCAAAGCCTTGAAACATTTGTTTGACTTGAAAGGGTCTTTGAGTGAAATTTGCAAATGCTAAGCAAGGGGCTTTGAATGAAATTAACAGCAAAAGAGAAACATACCCTTTCTCTGTAGAAAAAGAGCAACACGGAAGAAAATGTTTTTAAGAAACAAGATGTGACATGTAGAGGTTGGAAGTTGTATTGTGGTTAAGTTCAAAGGTTGTGGTTAAGCGCAGAGTCTGCAGGTACAAGAAGGTACTTTCCATCAAAAGGTCAAGGGAGGGGGCTGGAAAGAGAGTACTTTCCATGACAAAAATGTTCTTGTTTACTTGAGGTCATATATCAGTGGTCAAAAAGCCAAGAGGACGCAGCAGTCAGTTGAAGGGTAGCATCTGCGTATGCTGCCAAGCTGTCTGTCTTCTTCATGAAGAAACTAAAATAAACCTTGTTTTTTTATCTTTTTTTGGGACTGTCTCCTTCCTTTCGTGCTCCTGTGATGTGGACCTAGGAAGACCCAATTTAGGGTCTCTAACAGACTCATTGAAGATTTGAGAAGTATCTGTTTAATTTGTTCAATAATAAAAGACTTTGTTCAATCATTAAAGACTCTAAGACCGTTTCTACAGGAAAACCCTTGGGGGCCTCTCTTCAAGGCACCCTGGCTTCCCGCTGGGCACAAAATGCACCTCCTATTCAAAGCCAATTGTTACAGGCCCAGAGCGTGACAGAACAGTTGTTATTATTATTATTTAGGTAAAGATAAAGGTTTTCCCCTGACATGAAGTCCAGTCGTATCCGACTCTAGGGTGTGGTCTTCATCTTCATTTCTAAGCCGAAGAGCCGGCTTTGTCCGTAGACACCTCCAAGGTCATGTGGCCAATGGCATGACTGCATGGAGCACTGCTACCTTCCCGCCGAAGCGGTACCTATTGATCTACTCACATTTGCATGTTTTTGAACTGCCAGGTTCGAAAACATGCAAATGTGAGTAGATCAATAGATTCACTTCCCGGGGAAATGAGTGAGGTCATCGACATCCCTCCTCTCTTTTAGAAGGAAACTAAAAACATGGATATGGGGCCAGGCCTCTGGGTAAGCTGGCAGATAGACAAAGGACAATGACAACTAGAATTGGATAGGATTTTATTTATTTATTTCGCGTATTTCTACCCCACCCTTCTCAACCCCCGAGGGGGACTCAGGGCGGCTTACAAAGGCACAACTCGATGCCAGCATAAACATAACAATGGATGAAACATGTAAACAGCAATTATAACAATTAAGACAGTCAGTATATACATCAAAATCAATAAAAACAATCTAATGCTCAGCGTTCGCCATCTCAGAGTCCGTAAATTCATTCCACATTGTCAAGTACTATCGATTCTGGTCGTCATTGTCCTTATCTAACCGCCAGATTGCCCGAAAGCCTGGTCCTACAACCATGTTTTTAATTTCCTTCTGAAAGAGAGGAGGGATGTCGATGATCTAATTTCCCCAGGGAGTGAATTCCACAGGCGAGGGGCCACCACCGAGAAGGCCCTGCTCCTCGTCCCCGCCAATCTCACTTGTGATAGAGGTGGAGCCGAGAGCTGGGCCTCCCCAGAAGATCGTGAAAAGGATTAGACAATGTGGAATGAATTTACGGACTCTGAGCTGGCAAACGTTGAGCATTAGACTGGTTTTATTGATTATGATGTATCATTGATTGTTTTAATTGTTTGACAATTGCTGTTGATATATGTTTTTATCTTATTGTTTGTGTTGGCATCGAATTGTGCCTTTTGTAAGCCGCCGAGTCCCCCCTCGGGAGCTGAGGAGGGCGGGGTAGAAATGCGCGAAATAAATAAATAAATAAATAAATAAATAAATAAAATAAGAACCGTGGGAGCTGTTTATTCCTACGTTTGGCTTCCTGGTGAGTGTTTGAGAAAGGTGATCCCTAGCAACACTCTGGGAATCAGCACCCAGAGCGGTCCCTCTGAGCATGCATGCATGGAAACACATGCATGCTCAACGGCCCCCTTCCCCCACACATGAGGACACTCACAGACACATCCTGGTGTGCTGACGGTCTGGTCAGCTTGGTATCCCTCCTCCGCCCCATTGAAGGCCAGCAGTCGGACGTGGTACTTCCTGCGGGGACCTGCACAGAGAGACAGACAGACAGAGGGAGGCATTGTTTGGGGGCAATCCCATAGCCAAGGGGACGTTTGAGGGGTTCAAACCACCCCTACATTTTTTCAGGTAGAAGATTCCGAACCGACTGCAGAGGTGCAGGAAATACCATATGTGCGATTTCACAGAGACCACGATGGACAGGTCACACAAAGTTCAAGACTACATAGGAAGTAGTTGCGTTGTGATTAAGTTCAAAGGTTGTGGTTAAGTGCAGAGTCTACAGATACAAGAAGGTACTTTCCATCAAAAGGTCAAGGGAAAGGGGCTGGAAAGAGAGTACTACTTAGTAGTAGTAGTAGTAGTAGTAGTTTATTCGACGCTTAGACCATAGGTCTTTCACATACAAGGCAAGGCAAACCGTCAAAAGTATCCTCGATATTATTATCCTTCTTATACAGATCTTCTGTATAGTCTCACCACCTTCTCTTGATC